AAAAATGGGCCCATTTTTGCGAAAAGTGGGTCCTTTTGTGGAGGTCTGCAGAGTGGAAAAACTTTTTTTTTTCTAATTTGCCTCTTCAAAACCTTGGTGCATCTCATACTTCGGTGCGTCTTATACTCTGAAAAATATGGTAACATCTTCCCCAGCCACACTTGAGTTTGCTTGGAGGTTCTGTGTGATTGAAAAGCTTGCATGCAGTCTTAAGTATTATCCTGCTTTATTGTTGTTCTTATTTTGCATCTTAACTTTCACTGAAGTAGAAGAAAATAAAATGATTTGATTATGGATGAGATTAGTGTCAAAAAGCTATTCATAGCGTTTTAAAATCTCTTGATTTTCTTCTTAGTCTTGTTTCCTGATTTCACAACTCTCTCTTTCTCTTTCTTCTCTATCCCTCCCCGGCCACAACAGGAATCATTAACCAGTGGCAGCAAGAATCAAAGGACAAAGTGATTTCTCTATTGCTCACCCACCTGCCTTTGCTGAAGCCAGGGAATATTGAAGGAAAAGTGGAGTACATGAAGCTCCTTCCCAAAATCCTGGCTCACTCAATTGAACACAACCAACACATAGAGGAGAGCAGGCAACTCCTGTCCTATGCTTTGATCCATCCTGCCACATCCCTGGAGGACAGGAGTGCTCTTGCCATGTGGTTGAACCACTTGGAGGACCGCACGTCGGGTACCTTTGGCAGCCAAAACAGAGGCCGGTCTGACTCGGTGGATTATGGGCAGTCTCATTACTATCACCAAAGACAGAACTCGGATGATAAACTCAACGGGTGGCAGAGCTCTCGGGATTCTGGCATATGTGTGAATGCCTCCAGCTGGCAAGATAAAAACTTGGGGTGTGAGAATGGCCACCTCCCCCTCTATTCCTCGTCCTCGGTTCCTGCAACCATCAACACGATTGGGACTGGTACAGGCACAAGTAAGTCAGTAATGTTTTTAAAGGTTGATGCTTTCCACCAGGTCACCAGATATGTCTGTCTCCAGAATTCAATATCGGGCACTTCACTTCTAATCCACTCCGACACTGAATAAGAAATTATAGATGCAGAACAGGTAAAAGCAAGAAACTAGAGGGGCAGAAATAGTTAATAACTTCAGTGGTAATTTTAATGGTGTTCTATGCACCAGCACCTGCTGTAAATAAGATGTAGTAGAACAAGACTTGCAGACAATCAAACAGCAATTGTCTGTCAATTTCTTCTCAATCTGTCTTCTAAATTCTCTATTAGAACAAACAAACGATGCAAAATAAAACGAGTACAGATAGCCCTCAATTTAAAAACCATTCATTCAGCAATTGTTTGGCCACATGATCTAAATTCAGGTCCTTGGCATCCAATATGTATTTACAATAGTTGCAGCATCCCAGAGTTATACTATTGCCATTTGTGACCTTCCTACCAGTTTCCAACTAGCGAAGTGAATGGAGGAAACCAGATTCACTTAATGACCATGTGAGCCACTTAATAACTGCAGCAATTCATTTAAATGATGGTGAAATCAGGTGCAACTCACTTAACAATTGCCTTGCTGAGCAACAAAAATTCTCTTTCAAATGGTGGTCCTAAGTCAAGGCCTGCCTGTAGTGTAATAAAATTTCTCTGTATCTCTGTGAATACCCATCCATACACACATGCACATATACACTTAAGATACACTGTGTTATATCTTCTCCATTGTCATATAGGTGTTTTCTCTGCAGTGAATAAGTTCTAAGAGGACAATACTGAGATGAAGTAAAAGAATTTAATCAGTAATGTAGAACAGCCAATTGATTTATTATAGCTTCAGTTTTCTCCATGGTGTATTAAAAGATTTTAATATAGATGTAATGCACAGAACCGATGATCGTCCAGGTGCAGCTGAAACAGAACTCAGAACATCCTTCAACATCAGATGATGCTAGAGCAGAGCTGTCAAACTTGTGGCCTGCAGGCTGGATGCATCACACACTGGCCACACCCTCACCCAGCAAAGGGGGGGGGGAAGTCCCAATACATCACATGATTCCACCGTTACAATGTGAGTTTGACATCCCTATGCTAGAGCATCATCGTGTGTCAAAACATGGCTGCTCATTTCCGACCATGAGCATTGTCTCTTAAACCTCTGCATCTTTATAGCTGGTTATGAAACAGCGTAGACGTGACGATGGCAAGAAGCCAGTTCAGATTTGCATGTGCAAAAGCAGACAGACAAAACACGCAACTGTTGCAACAACTATCAACACATTAAAGCAAGCGGCTAAATAAAAAAAATTATTGTGGGAAGGATCAGCTTGACCTCTCGGTCCGTGTGTGGGAAACACACTGTGTTCCATTAGAGCAATGGAACTAATTCATAGTTCTTCTTTTGTTCTTTTGCATTCCTTGTTTTCTTTTTTTTTCTTCTTCCTTGTGGAATACATTTCATATTTTGTTGCTCCAGTTCTGCATTTCTAATCAATTTGTTTTACCATTTCCTTGTAGAAGAATAGATAGTTTCATGTAACAGTGTCTGCAGAAGGGGGCAATGGTGGGACAGCAACTACTAACTGTCCTAAATTTTATCTGAACCTCATTCAGTCAGGATTCAGATCTTGTATTAGGCATCACCTTAGGGAAGGTATGAAAGAACTTGAGAAAAGAGTACACAGTTCAGAAACTGAAGCAAGTATGAGAAAGGAACTCAAAATAATCCTGCCTTGATTTTGTTTACTATGAAATGCGACAAAGAAAAACTTGGACAGGCTAACAAGATTTTGTTACTGTAGTCTACAACAACAATAAGATAGCATTCCTTGAATTCTTGCTATTGTCCTGACCCAGCTTATCTCCAAGAGTTGACAAATGAGAACCAAACTCTCTATGAAGGTTCCGAGTCACCCATGTCATCAGTTGTATCAAAAGTGGTTTGTTTGTCTTTTATTTTTATTTATTTTTTTAAAAGGAGGAGGAATGTTTCACTTCCTATCCTGGAAGCTCCATCAGTTGTATTGGATGGTGTCAGAGATAAAAGGACATTAACTGTCAATAACTGCCCTTTCATCTCTAACATCATTCAGTACAACTGATGAAGCTTCCAGAATAGGAAGCAAAATGTCTTCTTCTTCCTCAAAAAAAAATCAGCTTTTCAAAAAAATAAAGAACACTTTTGAGAAACCAAACTGGTTGCCCTGATCTTGTGACCTGACGGGGGCATATCCAGGGGTGTAATCCAGCAAATTCTGGCAGGTTCAGGAGAACCGGTAGAGGAAATTTTGAGTAGTTTGGAGAACTTGCAAATGCCACCTCTGGCTGGCCCCAGAGGGGGGCGGGAATGGAGATTTTGCAATATCCTTCCCCTGCCACTCCCACCAAGCCACACCATGCCCACCAAGCCACACCCACAGAACCGGTAGTAAAAAAAAAATGGAATTTCACCACTGGGTATATCCCTACTCACCCCACAACATTTCTTTGTGATTTTGGGTACTCTCAACAGGAATCCTTCTGGGCTTCCAGCAGAATTGAGAAGTAGGGGACCCTGTTTTGAAGCAGTTACATTCTGTCTGGAGTGAATAGTTCACTTTGGTGATAGGGAAAGGAGGGGGTCATCCAGTGATTGGTGACTTGTGTGATACTACAGATAAAACCAATCTGTTTAAATGGTTTATCAGAAACGAGATGTTAAGAAGTACTTAAGATGTTGAGGTCATATAGAAAAAGAGCATAATGCTTTCAGTTTATGCTCCATCTCTCTGGAACAGTTCGTTTAAATTATATACCACATTTATATTGCACCATAGTTGTCTGCAGCTTCTTGGTGGCTTACAACATGAAAAACAAAATTAATAAAAATAAAACTGCCAACATGAAAGAATACAGAGTTTGCCCATGGAGGTCCAGATGGTGCCATTCTTGATAGTACTTTATAGTGGGTTTGAAATATAGCTGGCCTGCAGAACTTTTAAGAATGGAATTGGTTAGGAAAATATGGATGCCGCCTTGGGGTGAGACATGTTATTGTTTTAAGCATTGTACATTCAGTATTTCGTAAACCCTCTTGTAGAGTCATCAGATGTAAGTAAACAGTGTAAATAAATAAAATCATATATTCTAATATTCATAATTCAATCTACACCTTCACTTCCCTCCATACATTCAACAACTGCTTAAGACCAGACACTTCATGCAGTTCTCTTACACTCATCATTTTTCTCACATAGTTCCCACCAATACACAATACCACCTATTTTTCTTTCATTTCATTCCATCCATTCATTTGTAATCATTACCATTCTTTTTTTCCCTTGCTTTTCAATGTTACAACTGTTTTCTTAGTCTGTACGACATGCAGAGTCACTGCTGAGTTATCCAGCCTTATAAATCTACTAGAGAAAAGCTGTCCATATCTATTGCACCTGCTGTTAGAAGTGTCATGAAGCCTTTTCAATGGGTGGGTTTCAGTGGTGGGATTCAGCCGGTTCGCACCACTTTGGGAGAACTGATCATTAACTTTCTGAGCAGTTTGGTGAACTGATTGTTTGTTTCTGTTTGTTTGTTTCTGTTTATTAGGATTTATAGGCCGCCCTTTTCCCTGAGGGGTCTCAGGGCGGCTTACAATCATTAGGGAGG